AGTTTATTTTAATAAAATGATAACTATAAAAAAGAGTAATAATTGTGAAACATTTCTGGGAAACAAAATATCATTCATTCTGGTATTCATATGAATGTATATTCTATTACATTTTAACAGTATTTTACATTATAGGTCTGTAAGAAAATATTCAATCATCCCAGCAGTCTCATTTATCACCGTGAAGCTGAGCATAATAATGGCCAGCGTTTTGTATGCATCAAATGTGATAAGAGCTTCAAGCACAAACAGTTATTGCAAAGACATCAACTTGTACATTCGGAAGAGCGACCTTATCGTTGCAAACAGTGTGATGCAAGCTTTAAAACGAGAGCAAATCTTATAAATCACATGCCTATTCATACTGGAGAAAAAAAATACTTTTGTTCACAATGTGGACAGACATTTGCCCACAAAACTTCTCTAACATTGCACATAAGATGGCACAGTGGTCAGAAACCGTTCCAGTGTGATATTTGTTTAAAGTCTTTCTCACAGAAAGGCAATTTGGCTGAGCACAAGCGGATTCATACAGGTGATTTTTTAATATATTTTTTATGCGGTTTAATCTACAGGAAAACTTTGTTTTGCGTTTTGAAAAAATGTAGCTTTAATTTTTAGGAGAGAAACCATATAATTGTGAACATTGCAACAGAAAATTCACTACCTCTTCTCAATATAAACTACACATGAAACGACACAGTGGGGAGCGACCGTGGAGATGTGAATTTTGTCCAAAAACATTTCTTCACAGGGATACGTGGAAATGTCATACTAGACGACATAAAAACGAAAAACCGTACCAATGTGAGCAGGTACAAATTTCATTTTACTTGTTCGAAGTTTATAATTACGATAATTTTTTATCTTCTTAGTGCCTTAAAGGTTTTACTGAACAATGTGCTTTGAAAAAGCACGAAAGATTACATACTGGTGAAAAGCCTTATGTTTGTGAATTCTGTAATAGAGGTTTTGCTGATTGTTCGAATTTAGCGAAACACAAAAGAATACATGAAAACGAACCTAATTTAATCGAGACACCAGAAATCAAAGTGTTAACATCATCGAAGGACGGTAAAATAAGACTGAGAACTTTGTTGAAATTCGATTGTTTGTTTCGTTTTTATTTCAGATGAAAACGATATATTTTATGTTACATTGGATCCAAATTCTTCAGAAATTCAATCGCCTTCATTAGTGCAAATTATGGAGCAGTTGGATACAAAAAATAACGAAAATGATGAAGCGCACGCCAAAATAAACAATATTTCTACTTTATCTACTAAAAATAATGCAGTTATACAAGTATGTATTACTGGATGAAAATGTAAAAGAAAGATTTTTGAAATTGATCTGTTATAGCAAATTATCGATCAAGAAGGAAATACCATGTCAGTTGCTCTACCAGACGGACAAATGCTTAGAGTAGTTACTACAATGGAAAATGGAGAACAGAATTTTAAAGGTTTAACAAATGACGGTAGTTTAATACCCCTAAATGTTAATTTTGAAGATGAAAGAACGATATTCGGAAACGAACAAATGAATGTAACGTTAGACGAAAAAGAAAACGAATTTGAAGAATGGACTAATAAGGTAAAAAATAATTTATACTTAGACTGGGAAAAATTCGCCTTATTTACTATATTTAATTTGAATTATAAAATATATTTATTTTATATAGAAGAAAGATGATTCAAAAGTAGCAACAATTCCACTTATTCAATTTTTGGATAGTGACATACAAATTTTACCTGGACAGAAAATGGAAAACAATTTACAATTACTGGTAGAAGGACAGAATGTTTGTTTTGTAACGGCCTATAATTCAGATGATCCTACGAACTCACAGTATTTAGCAATGGCCTAACACAGCAGAAAATATAAACCCTGTTTTCATTATTATCTTTATTTAATAGGCTATTATGACAACCTCAGCATGTGGTGATGGAGTATAAAGCACAGTATTTTTGTAATGATTGGAAATAATTGTTCACAAAGATATGTTCTAAATGAATATGTCGTTAATATGTAATTTATGTGTGCAATGAACATAATGATTATCATTTTACGACTGAGCATTAAAACTATTTGATGACATTCTCTAATAAATTGTGTGTAAATGATCGAAGAAATGCAACTTGTGTAAAATAGTAGTTTGTTAATTAATTATTAATAAAAAAATAATTTAAAAGTATGCCTTTTATTTTGGCTTACGGCTGAAACGACTCAAAAAAGCACAAATAACATTTGATACAATTTTACATTTACTAAAACAAAAATAAATTTAGTTTTTTGAGTGATCTGAATAGGTATTGGCCTTGTACCATTTTTTTTTTATTTCAATAAAAGACTTAAATATATGTATATAAAAAAATAAAATTATGTTATAAATGACAATATTATATACTAGTATGCTGTATATAGCAAGTGCAGCAAATATCCTCATAAAACGCCTATTAAGGCATATCACAAATGCAAATTATAAAGTAAAATTTTGTGTATAATCATACTCTATTGTGGGTATAACAGACTGAACGAATTTTAAAAATATAATTAAATACATATGCACACCTAATTCTTTCCCCCCTTCTGTAACAGTTTCAATTATACTTTTCATAACTTCTGCATGTCTAAAATTCATAATCATCTGTTACTGTTGGAATTTATATATAGAAAGAATTGTCTTACCTGCAGGGATGAATCGAAGCAACTCGTGGAATACTCAAATGTGGGTGTGCTTCCATAGTTACCGTTTTCATTGCATAATCTTTACTAACATCTTGAAACGTTTGAGCCATTGTTAGAGGTTGATGCTTCTGTTTTGCAAAAAGATAAAAGTTTATAGAGTTACTGCAAAGCATGATACTGTAATTTACTTTAGAAACTACTTCACTTAAACACAAACTATAAAAATGTAAAAATAGGAAACCTGTAATCCACAGATTTATCATGTAAAATTTTATTCGCTCCATTTCATACTTATTCATTTAAAAACAACTGCAAGTTTTTTTCCTATAACAAGCAATTTATTTAAATTGTAAAATATGGTCCATAGTAATGAAAAAATGCTAAATTTTGTTTATGTTTATTTGGATTGCATTTTATAGATGCCTGAATTTTAAAAATAAATGAGTTTCTTTGAACAATTTTATTTCCAAAAAATTTAAATTGTTTTTATTAAGGGTAGTTCTGTATTAAGAAACAATATATGAGGTGCAATTATGAATTGCAATAAGGACAAATGTTTAACTGGAGGCAAATTAACCAGATTTATCTAGCAATGAATTTTAGCTTTTGAACTATGAAAACTTTTAGACTTAATATACTGTATAAATTATTACCTCATCATAGCCACACAACCATAAACGGGGAGTTTGATAGTACTTATCATATGTAATGTGCAAATCATAAGTTCTAGTACGTATAATGCCACTATCATCTCCAGATTCTGCATCTATTTTAGAAGGAAATGGCTCAACAATGGTAGCCTTAAAAGTAAAATAAGGTATGCTTAATAATTTTAATAATTTTCTTTTTTTTAATTTATTTATACTTCATCATTTTCAAGCATTCCACTTTCTTCAAATGCTTCCATATCCACTGCTTCATCATCATCATCATCATCATCATCATTATCACTGTTATTGCATTGATCTTTTAGCAAAGCATCTTCCATACTTTCAGCCTATAATAATTTGAAAATATCTTTTTAACAGCTGGTTTATATCATTACCAATTGTGTAAATTTACTTTGCAATTTTCAAGTGTCATCTCACTGATCTTTTCTTCTAAACCAAAATTGGAAGAATCATAATGATGTGTGTCTACCCATCCATTATCTGCATCATCTGACTGAATAATATGTTCCAAGTCCTCTTGGTATTCCATTTGTTCACATCTTCTTGAGCAAGGTACATTACGTGTAATAAGAAATTGTTTATCTTTTGGGAGGTATGATTTAATTTTGGATTCATCTCCCACTGACCATTGCCAAGTAGGGCAATGATGGACTAAATGATCTCCGGCTGCAACAAATTCTTCTGGAGTAAGAACACCTGTTTCTCGAAATTTTGATTCCTGCAATGTTATTTTGATTAAAGTTTTATAATATGCATTTATTATGTGTACCTTCAAAATTGGAGTCAAGTATTCTGCTACTCCTAAAGCCGTTCCTTTCACAGTGTTGATAACACTTTGCATGATTATCTAGAAATGATTTGTTATTTAATCACGTATTAAATTTTGGCCACAAATTTTCCAGTACGAAATCAATAAACATAACCTAAACATAAGATAATCATTTTATAGCCATGTTCAGCTGATTATAATCCATAGATATTTCAATAGATACGATTTCTACCATAAAAAATTGTTCGTGATAGTATGCATAGATGTTGCACATACAGATAAAAAATAATCAGCACAATCTATGATCAGCCCTTACAGGGTTGTCATCGTTTAAAAATTATATACAGAAGGTTTGCTACAATTTAAACTTTTCCCCCACTAGTCATCTTGAATTATTTATACTTTAAATGATATTAAAGGCCACCTTTTAGCAAATATAAGAAATAGTTATTTAATTTTTTGTTTGAAGCGCCATCTTAGTAATTATTGAAAAATCATAACAGAAATATACAATAGATTCAACAGACAACTACAAAATAATAAATAGTTTTCTGTAATATGCCGTCATGTAAAACTGAAAAATTTTGAGCTATGATTACGGCTATGATTTTTGAGACAATTTTGAGAAAACGATTTGTTACCAAATTGGCATACCAATTAATATATACCCAAAGTGCAAATTTAGCATGCTATTTGTAAATAGTTTAGTTTAAAGTACGATTTTGTGTGGTAAAGGACAAAAACTAAATCAAAACATATGCAATGCAAAACAAAGTCCATGATGGAACAGTGAAGGTTACACCATATTTATACGATTCTTATCTTTGCCGATTATGTGCAAATGAAAATCTAAATGGTACAAAAATTTTTCCGAAAAACGAAAACGAATCTGATTTAAGTCAGCTTATTAATAAATATTTGCCCCTGAAGGTATTAACACCATTTACATTTACAATATAAATTAAAAAATCTAATCTGCAGTCATTGCATTAAAAACGTCCTTTTCTGTAGGTTTATGATGACGGAAAATTGCCACAGTTAATTTGTCCAGGTTGTTACATTCAAGTGGAAGCCACTAAACAATTTTTAGATCTGGTTTTAGAAGGTCAGAAAAAGCTTCGTGATTTGTTGCAATTACAAGAAACTGAAGAACACTTAGATGGAGATATTGAAAAGACAACTCTGGAAAATGCAGTTAATACATATGTACAAACAGATGAGAATGGCAGAAATATTTTTATTCAAGGTAATGTGTATAATACTGTCTTAGCATAATTAGAAGTCAATTTTTATAGTATTATCGAATGGCTCCTTATATCCACCTGAACATTCACTATCAGTACTTGCTGCGGGTTCAGAAAAACCAAAGAGAAGACGCGGTAGGCCACCCAAAACGATAACTACAGAGTGCAATGAAAATGAGCCGCAAAAAGAGACAAAAGTCAAACCTGAATCTGAAGATGAACCTGAAACTGACAATGATGGACGAAGAAAAAGGAAAATAAAAGTACCTACAAGATTTCAAGAAGTTGTCCAGGTTAGTTTTAAATATAAATATACTGTATTAATTTTGATAGTAAAGTGTAATTCCTTTTCTTATTTCATTTGTTAATGCCATTGCAGGGGAAAGAACTGGAAAGAATTTTTCTAGAAGAAGGTGTTATAGGTGAAGATTCAACATCAGATTATGAACATGGTAAAGCAGATCACTTAGAAGATAATGAAATTATTGGTCGCTTACAAAGTAAAGATGGTGATAATCTTGGAGAATTAATTATAGTTAACAGAGTCTCAAGTAAAATGAGGAATACATTTAAGAATGAAGGTATTTTGGATTTTTTCTAAATGAAGCAGAAACTAGTAAATATGTGACATGATTGGACACAACCAGAAATTAATTGGCATTTTTCTTCCAAAGTATCAAGAAGAAGAAAAAAACATGAATGTGAAATATGTGGGAAGGAATTCTTATATTATGGTCGATATGAAAATCATAAATCACTTCATGAGAATGGTAAATTTCAGTGTAATTCATGCATTTTTCGTGCTAGTAACAAAATTTCCATTGAACGACATCATAAAGTTACTGGTCATAATGGCTTATCACAATTACAGTGTGAATCATTTGTAAGTACAATTTTGTAGATATTGCAAGTAGAACTAGTAAATTTTATTTTATTACTTCATTTAAAATTTTAAACGTATTACATAGAAAGAAGAACCTCAACAAGATATAATCAATGTAGAACAAGAAACTGATGATACCAATACTCCTCAATCAAATTCCACAGACACAGTAGGTTTAAAAGAGTGTTCTGAAGATAGTAAGGAAGATAGTCCTCAAGATGCTTCTAGTAAAAATTCATGTGAAGTATGTGGCAAAAATTTTATGTGTAGACAAAATCTTGATGTCCATATAAAGGCAGTACATAAAAATATGAAACCCCATCAGTGCAGTAGGTGTAAAAAAACGTTTCCCTATCTCAATAGTCTAAAGTGGCATTTATTAAAACACTTAGATAAAAATGAAAAGCTTTATCCATGTGAGGTAAGAGTTGTAAGGGAAAATAACAAAATAATTTTAGTCCCTTTTATAATTGTTAAATTATAATCAAGTGAAAGTTTTCAGTTTAAACTTTAGTTATTTTGGAAGAAATTTGTTTTTGTAATATAAGCTACACAAATCATTCACTAAATTATAATACATAGAAAAAATAACATCCTAACAATGTTTCTATCACAAATTTTTGGTAGACCATTTGCACACATTATGCTAATGCACATTTTTATTAAAGATATTTATTTGTTTATTCATTTGCGGGTGTGATCCATTTATATAAGTAACTTTAAAGTTTATTTTAATAAGATGATAACTATAAAAAAGAGTAATAATTGTGAAATATTTCTGGGAAACAAAATATCATTCATTCTGGNCAATAAAACATACACGCATATAAAAAACAACTTAAAATTAAAGATATTCATTAGAAGAATACTTTGTAACTTGCCTAGTGGTAGGTGTTACTCCATGTAATAAAGCACTATGTTCTTTAACTAATTCCTTTAATAAAGAGCTCTGGAAGCCATAAACGGCCATGTATTTTTTCTGTGATAAATTTAGAACATTCACAAGAAGAAATTTCGCATTCTTTACTATAAATTGCTTTTGCTGTAAAGTATCACATAAAAATATAGAATTAATAACAGTCTTAAATTATAAACAGACCTCATTTTGTGTTTCATTACGAAACGTTTGCTCTGTATATCTTATTTGAGCTTGAAAAACATCGAACAAAACCGAGTCAATTGTGTGCGTAAGTTCGGAATTTTGTAATTGTAAACAGTCCTCTAGTAAATTTAAATATAATTTACTAAAAGCTAAGGTATTACTTGTTAACTGTAGCCAGCAGTCACCTAAAATCATTGCAAGTATTACAAAATGAACAATTAATACTTCTGGGTATAAACTACATTTTTCTGTCATAAATTGTGGACACTTTAAACAATACAGAAGAAATCGCATCCATTATGTTTAATAGCTAAGGATGTAGCTGGAATTGGGACAAAATAATAAACTAGATGATGAAAAGATAAGGCTTTTACAGTAGAGCTGGGCCCCAGTATAATAGCAGAAAAATATTTTACGACTTTGCTACGCTCCCCAAGGGTGCAAAACAGTAGTTGGCGAAACGTCGGATAAACAACTCCATCGCACTAAAGGATGAGAACCAATCTAGGACAACGCTCATCAACCCCGAATATCGAACTCTCTTCGGATGATGCATCAGATTAATGTTATTTAGTGCAAATTTATCATATTTATCACCTGGTGCATTATTTTGTCCAAATTTCTGCTGTACTCTCATTTTAAGAACTATTTTGCAAACATAACAAGGAAAGCCCTTTAATGCTGTAGCATAGTTACGAAAGATGATTTTACAAAATACTAAAAGATGTGTGACTTTAAAATTTTGTAAATTGTTTACCGATAACATAGTCTTCCAAAGGTAAACCTATTTTGGCATGCTCTTGTAAACAACGAGATAATCCGAATTTTGACCTATAATTTGTTGGAATCCATCTGTCTTCTGAAGCTTTTATTTTTATGGCTTCAATCATTTTGTCTCTAGTTTCATGCAAAGCTTTTGTAATAGGCGTTCTTAATGTACCATCTAATTGATAACATAAATCAATTCCATAGTCACACAGCTAAAAATCAATAAGCTGTAATTGTTATGAAATGAGAACATTAAATTAATATTTAGCTGGATTCATAACAAGTAACTTAAAGTCAATTAAAATGTATTGTGATACTTACTCTAGCACATTGATCTCGAGCTAGGATTACACACTCTGTTAATGTAGATAATGAGGTTTGACTAATAAAAACTTGTTTTACAAAATGATTTGTAAAAACACTTAATTCCTTACTTGTCCAAACAACAAACGCTTGTTAAAAAGAGCAAAATAATTATTTATACCTTCTTATTAAATATGACTCTTAATATACCTGAAGTGCAGCCTGGAGAATTAGGAAAAGCTTGTAAAAATTCTTCTGTCATATGACACATGTTTGTAAATACAACACTTGATAAATGTCTGACATACACTGCAGCAGATCCTTCTCGTTTCACTCTTTTACATTGAATTTTCATAATGCTGCTGCATAATTTCAACAGTAATTCACATGCCTAAAATATTAATCTTTAATTACGTTGTTTGCGTTTTTATAATAAAACAAAAATACCTGGACTGATCTACCTAATTTATTTAATAATCGTACGGCTCTACGGGAAGCTCGTAAACCCCCTTGCAAAGATTTATCTGGCTTCAATTCTAATTCCTTCATTAAAACTTCTGTTAATGCGATTTCTTTTTGTTCAACCTGTAATTTAAGACATTTTTTTTTATTTATAAATAATTTACATTTTTACGACCTTCCATTTTATGTCCATTAAAACAGGATCAGATTGATTATTTGGAAGTATGTATTGATTCAAGTAATCCTTTGCTTTGTGCAATAAATTTAAAGCTTCTTCAAAGTGTCTTTGAGCTATGTGAACTTCTAATTCATCAGACGATTCCAATATCCATTCAGGATGGGTCTTAATTTCTTCTTCAACTTCATCAACAACTATAAATTTTGTGTTTTACAAATACATTTAAAGATAAAATTGTTTAATCAAACCTGTTTTTGCAGGGGACCGCTCAGAAGTAAGATCTTTTCTAACTTGATTTTGTGTTAAACGAGATTTTTTTGCTTGATCAAATTTGTCAAGCCACTCTTTCTACAAATAAAAAAATATCAAAATGAAAATTATATTTCATAAAACCTAAACCTTGGCCGCATTAGATGTACACTGAAAAACCCTTGTATCTGGAAAAGCTAACAGCTTGAAGGCATGCTTTACAGTTCCTAAATCTCTCACATTAACCACTGCAAGGGAACCAATTTCATAAAATGTTTCAAACTTGTAACGCATTGGACCTCTCCTAAAAATGATTGGAAACAACTGATATTGAGATAACCATATTCTAACTAAGACAATGGGAGACTGTAGACAGTAAAATAAGAAAAAGGAAATTACTAACCATTAATGCATGATAAGAAAGTTATTTGTTTTTTGCAAGATTTTAACTTTTCTTTACCAGATTTATAACAAATAATTCAGCAATACTTAATTATTTAAGGAAATAAATTTCTTCCTTCACAAAAATTACTTGTATTAATATTATACCATAAAACTTTAATTACCTTTTATTTGATAAGAAAGTAATTGATATTTACCTATTTGCATTCCAAGTTGTTATCATCAATCCTTCTGAAAACAAATAAGCATGTATCCTTCTCAGTGGAGTACTTTCAATAGAATCAATTTCCAAAATATCATCATCATGTAAAAAGAGAGGAGTAGATTCTTCCGAAAAGTTCTATAATCAAGGTCTATATTTACAAATGAATAATACCAAGATTATACTTAATAGCAATAATAAATAATTTGATTGAAATAAATACCACACATCCTTCCACTTTTTCTATAATTGTAGAAATTTTCTGCTTATTAGTTGTTTGCTCTTCATTCTCATCTTTTGCATTAAAATCTTGTTCAGAACGTAATTGCACATTATCATCTAATATTGATACTGAAGATACTGAATTTAGTAAGTTTTTATGCTCTGATAATAAATGAGAAAGTTGATACATTTCACTTTCCAAGTCTGTAATGCATTAAGAAAAAATAAGAAAACCTAAAACTTTGACTTTACTGAATAAACAAAAGGATACGGGATATTTCCTTGGCGGTATCAATGAATTGCATATAATTCTGATAAACATTTTTCTTTAATGTGTTGTTGGTATCTTCAGACAAATTATAAATTTTTGCTCTCAAACGAACTAGCTCTTGCCCACCAACACAATTTTGTGAAAGCTCTCTAACATCTAAAGTAAGAATGTTAAATATAATGTTAAGGATTAAAAATAATAAATTACATTTTTCTGGATTAAAATCAGATGATCCAAGTAATTTTAATGTTAGTTCAGCCATTCCAAACTTTAAATCAATTTTGTCGATAATGTCGAATTTATAAATACTTCAGGAAGAAGAAAGAATTAAACATTTTCGTTTAGATACTCAATAATCGCCTATTCATCAACTTCAAACAGCAAAACGAAAAAAAAAACTGAAAAACTGAGGACTGTTGACAACAACCATACGAGAAACATCTGAGAATATAGAGTGACATAGACTGGGAAAGTTGAGACGGGTTGAGACATGCGTGATAGGAATTTCTTGTTTTGTAAATAAAAAATGTTAACGCTAAAATTAGGTGAATTTTTCTACAATTTGTTGAAAAATCTATTTCAAACTGAGAGAATTTAAAAACATAATTACTAAAAAATTGTTTTTGAGTTTAATAATATTCATTAACGTTTGTTAACCAAAATTCCCCCCTCCTTTAAATATTTTGCTGTTGGCAGCTGTCAAAAATGAAAATATACCGTTCGGATCAACGGCCCGGCCTTTTTGTGCGTTGACGTAGGTTGTTGTACATGAATCTTTAGTATATCATAAAAAGTTTTCTTCATACATCATCCAAAATGAAAATCTATAAAGATATTATTACTGGTAAGTGTTCGTATTTATTTGAGTACGATTTAATCCTTTAAATATTTTTTTTAAACATTCATATGTTAATCAATCTTTTGAATAGGTTAAGGTTATTGCTTGACAGTACATTTGTATTCAATATTATATGAATGGGTTTATGAGAAAATAGTTTTTAATGGTGGAATATATTTACAGTTATATATAAGTATTCAATACTAATAGGATGTTGTTTTTTTTACAGGCGATGAAATGTTTTCTGATACTTACAAGGTAAAATTAATTGACGATGTTTTGTATGAAGTTTATGGTAAACATATTCAACGTAAACAAGGTGATATTAATATAGACGGCTTCAATCCATCTGCAGAAGAAGAATTAGAAGGTTGTGAGGAGGGTTTGGAGTCAGGAGTTGACATAGTTTTAAATCATAGGTTAGCTGAAAGCTATGCTTTTGGTGATAAAAAAAGTTATACGGCTTATCTGAAAGACTACATGAAAAAGTGAGTTCAAGGCTGTACTTTTATTTTCTTGTGTAAAAGTGATTGCAATAACATTTATTTATATGTATATCTCTAATAATTCAATACCTCTTTCATCAAATATATTGTGACATTCTAAATTAAAAGAACCCTGCAAAATGTATTACATATTTAGAAGAGAAAAACTGGCTATGGGTGATACTTTGTGTGCATAAGAACGGGCATTCTATTTTGAAATATCCTATCCACCGTTAACCTCTTGTATATAAACTTAAAAATTAATTGATTAGCTGATTGATTTTAGAAAAAGTATTTATACAGCATTTATTTAATTGCACTATTGAATATCAGCAATTACATTTTTATATTAATGTTATGGGTATATTCTAATATGCCCTTTGAAATTTTCTATAATACTGATAAAAGAAGAAAATTACTAATTTTTGTACTCTTTTTATTTCAGATTAGTAGCTAAATTGGAAGAAAAGGCACCAGATCAAGTAGATGTTTTTAAAACAAACATGAATAAAGTAATGAAAGATATTTTGGGAAGGTTTAAGGATTTGCAGTTCTTTACAGGAGAATCTATGGATGTTGATGGGATGGTAGCTCTTTTAGAATATCGTGAAATTGATGGTGAATCTGTCCCTGTATTGATGTTTTTTAAACATGGATTAGAAGAAGAAAAATTCTAGAACATTTTTAAAATTTAATCAACTCCATTTATATCTTTTAATATAAT